CTCCGTCCCGACTCAAAAAAAAAAAAAAAGAGAGAGTATTCCAAGTAGGAAAAATGAGCAAAGGCTTGGAGTGGGGAGAAGATACACTGGCAAGTGAGGTGCCAATTATTCGTACAGTCCTTGCCACTTTACAAAAGCTTCTGGAAATGTCATACGTAATCCTCAGGGAAACCTTGAGAGGTAGGAGTTTTCACTATTCTATATTGCAAATTATAGGCTGCAAAAATAGGCTTCAAAGAAGGTAAGAGATGCAGATTAAAAACCTGAACCTCCATCTGAATCTAAAGTAAGGGCTTTCTGTTCATTGCCCCATCACTACCAGACCTTGTACTGGAAAATAATGGTCCAGTGGTGAGACACACTGAGAATCCCCTCACCCCATGAGCCACCTCTGGGCATCTGCATTCTGTAGCTATAGAGGAGCTATGGAATAGTGTTTTTCTTTGTACAAGGTTACCAAGCAAACTCACCTTTGACCATCTTACTGAATAAATAATAATCAAGCAAAATTCTGGAGTCTTTTTTTTTTTGAGACAGTCTCCCTCTGTTGCTCAGGCTGGAATGCAGTGGCGTGTTGCCTCCCGGGCTCAAGCGCTTCTCCTGCCTCAGCCTCCCAAGTAGCTGGGATTACAGGTACCTGCCACCACACCCAGCTAATTTTTGTATTTTTAGTAGAGATGGAGTTTCACCATGTTGGCCAGGCTGGTATCAAACTCCTGACCTCAAGTGATCCGCACGCCTCAGCTTCCCAAAGTGCTGGGATTACAGACATACACTGTGCAATCTCGGCTCACTGCAACCTCCTCCTCCCAGGTTCAAGCAATTCTCCTGCCTCAGCCTCCCAAGTAGCTGGGATTATAGGTGCGCGCCACCACACCCAGCTAATGTTTGTATTTTTAGTAGAGACGGGGTTTCACCATGTTGGCCAGGATGGTCTCGATCTCTTGACCTCATGATCCACCCGCCTCAGCCTCCCAAAGTGTTGGGATTACAGGCATGAGCCACCACACCCAGCTGGCAACCACTGTTAATGTTTTCTTGTGTATCCCTTTTTTTTTTTTTTTTTTTGAGACAGAGTCTCACTCTGTCGCCCAGGCTGGACTGAAATGGCACGATCTTGGCTCACTGCAACCTCTGTCTTCCGGGTTCAAGCAATTCTTCTGCCTCAGCAGGAGTAGCTGGGATTACAGGTGCCACCACGACCAGCTAATTTTTGTATTTTTAGTTTAGACAAGGTTTCACCATGTTGGCTAGGCTGTTCTCGGACTCCTAACCTCAGGTGATCTGCCCATCTCAGCCTCCCAAAGTACGGGAGTACAGGCATGAGCCACCGCTCCCGGCCTTTTGTATCCTTTTATAGATATTCTGGCATCTTTATTATGCTGATAAAACACTATACCAACAAAACGCAAAATCTGCATAATATACTATATTGATTCATTTCACTTCATGTTGTGCCTAAGTTGTGCCATGCCCTGTGTTGGATTCACATAAAATACATTGTCTACAGCCCCAAGGGTGTACACGTTGTGTATGTATGTCTGTTAAGAGGGAGTGTGGGTAGCTTACGCCTGTAATCCCAGCACTTTGGGAGGCTAAGGGGGGGTGGATCACTTGAGATCAGGAGTTCGAGACCAGCATGACCAAAAGGGTGAAACCCGGTCTCTATTAAAAATACAAAAATCAGGCCAGGTGCGTCGGCTCACGCCTGTAATCTCAGCACTTTGGGAGGCCGAGGCAGGTGGATCACCTGAGGTCGGGAATTCAAGACCAGCCTGACCAACATGGAAAAACCCCACCTCTACTAAAAATAAAAAATTAGCTGGGCTGGTGGCACATGCCTGTAATCCCAGCTACTCAGGAGGCTGAAGCAGGAGAATCGCTTGAACTCAGGAGGCAGAGGTTGCGGTGATCCGAGATTGTGCCATTGCACTCCAGCCTGGGTAAAAAAGAGCGAAACTCCGTCTCAAAGTAAATAAATAAATAAAATAAATAAAAATACAAAAATCACCTGGGCATGGTGGCCCACACTTTACAAAAGCTTCTGGAAATACCACACTTAATCCTCAGGGAAACCTTGAGAGGTAGGAATTACTGAAAATACAAAATTAGCCAGACGTGGTGTAGTCTCAGGAGTCTAAGGCACAAGAATCCTTTGAACCTGGGAGGCAGGGTTGCAGTGAGCTGAGATCAGGCCACCGCACTCCAGTCTGGGTGACAGAGCAAGCCTCCCTTTCACGGGGGTGGGGGTACGGGGGGAAGAGGGGGTAGGGGCAACAGGTACCAAGGGACCGTAATTAGTACAAGGTAAAATACAAGTGTGGGAGTGTCACGTAGTGGTTAGTACTTGTTCTCAGAAGTCAGATTTGGTTTACGGTTCCAATTATGCGACTTGCTCTCAGTGTGACCCCATGTAATTCACTGAACCTGCGTAAGCCTATTTTTCCATCTATCAGACCAGATTAATAATAGTACCTACAGCCAGGCACGGTGGCTCATGCCTGTAATCCCAGCACTTTGGGAGGTCAAGGCGGGGGGATCACAAGGTCAGGAGATCGAGACCATCCTAACACAGTGAAACACCATCTCTACTAAAAATATAAAAAACTAGCTGGGTGTGGTGGTGGGCAGCCTGTCGTCCCAGCTACTTGGGAGGCAAGGGCAGGAGAATGGCATAAACCCAGGAGGCGGAGTTTGCAGTCAGCCGAGATCGCACCACTGCACTCCAGCCTGGGGGATGGAGAGACTCCGACTCAATAAAAATAATAATAATAATAATAATAGTACCTACTACTTCACTGAGTGTTGAGAGAAATAAAGCCAAAGTATACAAAGTGCCTGCCACATATTAAACTCTCAATAAATGTCTGCTAGAGGTTGCAGTGAGCCGAGATCTGCACTCCAGCCTGGGCGACAGAGTGAGGCTCTGTCTCGAAAAAATAAAATAAATAAATAAATGTCTGCTAAAAAAATAATTTTTAGGCCAAACACGGTGGCTCATGCCTGTAATCCCCAGCACTTTGGGAGGACGAGGCAGGAGGATTGCTTGACCCCAGAAGTTCGAGACCAACCTGGGCAACATGGTGAAACCTTGCCTCTACAGAAAAATACAAAAATTAGCCGGGCACGGTGGCACATGCCTGTAATCCCAGCTACTCGGAGGGCTGAGGCGGGGGTTGCAGTGAGTTGTGATCACACCACTGCACTCCATCCTGGGTGACAGAGTGGGACCCTATCTCAAAACAAAACAAATCAATTTTTAGCTCTCCATAAATGTTGGTCATTATCCTTCAGGTCTGCATTCCATCACTGTAAATTCATTAAACTCTAAAAGCCAGGAAAGGTCCGGTGGGTGGATGACTTCTATTATCTCAGCACTTTGGGAGGCCGAGGAGAGTGGATCACTTGATCCAACTCCAACAGGAGTTGGAGACCTTCCTGGCCAACACGGTGAGACCTTGCCTCTACTAAAAAAAAATACAAAAAATTAGCCAGGTGTAGAGGCATGCCTGTAATCTCAGCGACTGGGGAGGCTGAGGCAGGAGAATCGCTTGAACCCGGGAGGCGGAGATTGCAGTGAGCCAAGATTGCGCCATTGCACTCCAGCCTGGGTGACAAGAACGAGATTCCCTCTTAAAAGAAAAAAAAAAGGCGGCCGGGCTCGGTGGCTCAAGCCTGTAATCCCAGCACTTTGGGAGGCCGAGACGGGCGGATCACGAGGTCAAGAGATCGAGACCATCCTGGATAATACGGTGAAACCCCGTCTCTACTAAAAAATACAAAAAAAACCTAGCCGGGCAAGGTGGCGGGCGCCTGTAGTCCCAGCTACTTGGGAGGCTGAGGCTGGAGAATGGCGTAAACCCGGGAGGCGGAGCTTGCAGTGAGCTGAGATCCGGCCACTGCACTCCAGCCTGGGCTACAGAGCGAGACTCCGTCTCAAAAAAAAAAAAAAAAAAAAAAAAAAAAAAGGCTCTAAAGCCAGATTTTTTTTTTTTTTTTTGAGTCTCTTTCACCCAGACTGGAGTGCAGTGGCACGATCTCGGCTCACTGCAATCTCCGCCTCCCAGGTTCAAGTGATTCTCCTGCCTAAGCCTCCTGAGTACCTGGGATTACAGGTGCGCACCACCACGCCCGGTTAATTTTTGTATTTTTAATAGAGACGGGACTTCACCATGTTGGTCAGGGTGGTCTCGAACTCCTGACCTCGTGATTCGCCCACCTTGGCCTCCCAAAATGCTGGGATTACAGGCGTGAGCCACCGAGCCTGGCCGATTATTTTTCACTTTAAACATCTCAGGAAAGACCCAAAGAATCCTCAGGGTTTACACTCACAGTCCCTTGATTCCTGTATATTCCAAGATTTGTGGGAAGAAAAGGTACCAAGTTTGGAGTCAGGAGGCCTGATTTTTCTTCCTTTCACCAAGCTTCTCTAGTTCTGTTTCATTATCCCTATGACAACGACTAGCAACAGTGACTGGCATTTAGTAGGCCCTTCATAAATATATGTTGAATAAACTCTAAAAGAGGTAGCTTTTCAATCCAAGTTGAGTCCTTTCTTGGTCCTGTTGCAGGCAAGGGCAATGGTATCCTGCCCTGGGTGCACAAAGATGCAGGGAGGATCAATCGCAGAGCCTTTCCCAGAGAAGGGGCCCAAAGCGAGTCAACCTCTCTACTGAGCTTCCCACGAGGATGCTGGATCCCCAATCCCAACCATGGACACGTCTGACGGTCGCCGCCGTTAACGGGAATGATGTGGCCCTTCCTCCCCCACTCCCCCTTCTCTTCTCCCCTTTCAATACTTGAATTGGGCTCTCCCGCTCCTTCCGCACAGCTCAGGACCCACACCAGCCCAAAACCTTCGCGGCCTGCTAGTTCCCACCCCTCCCGTCCTGGAGGACCGTAGGTGGACGCTCTTGCAGAGCGCCTCTCGCTGGTTGGGGCGGGGGTGGGCGGAGCCAGCACCGTCTGGGCTGTGGAAGCGGAGGGGTGGGGACACTCTGGCCCGGTTCTCGGTGGTGCGGGAGCTGGCGGTGGCAGCGGCCGCTCTGGTCGGCGGACGTGCTGCCGAGTAGTCCCGGAAGCGAAGCAGCGATGGCGGAGAGTCCGACTGAAGAGGCGGCGACGGCGGGCGCCGGGGCGGCTGGCCCCGGGGCGAGCGGCGTTGCTGGTGTTGTTGGCGTTAGCGGCAGCGGTGGCGGGTTCGGGCCGCCTTTCCTGCCGGATGTGTGGGCGGCGGCAGCGGCAGCGGGCGGGGCCGGGAGCCCGGGGAGCGGCCTGGCTCCGCTGCCCGGGCTCCCGCCCTCGGCCGCTGCCCACGGGGCCGCGCTGCTTAGCCACTGGGACCCCACGCTCAGCTCCGACTGGGACGGCGAGCGCACCGCGCCGCAGTGTCTACTCCGGATCAAGCGGTGAGCCGGGGTTTTTCCTCCCCCAGCCCCGAGCTCCGGGGCTCGACCTTCCCCGCCCCCCACCCTCTCCCACTACAACTCACCCCCCACCCGCTGCGCTGCCCTCGCGGCGGCCCACCTCCACGGCCCAAATCTTGCCAGCTCCGGGCGTCGGGATCCAAGTCCCTTCTCCCCCCACCCCCAGCCCCACAAGCACCAACCCTCGCCTCGTGTGCCCAGATCCGACCCCGCCCCTCGACAACCTCCCGTGAGCCCTCCGTCTTCATTCCGGCCACCTTCCCCCACCCCTCCCACCTCTGGGTGGAAACCCGACCCTGTCGCGCTTCAGTAACACCCCCTCCCGCCTTCGGCGCCGCCCCTATTTCCCCTTCCCCACCCCAACCTTGCTAGTTGCTGCCCGCAGGCCCCACCCATCGGTCCCCTGTCTTCTCTGGAGCCCCGTTCCTAACACAGACGAACTTATCTTCCTTTGCCCTGCCTCTGACTCGAGCCAGCCTTTGTTTTTATCCTCCGTTTTCCTCAGATTCCCTCCACACAGTCCTTTCCCCAGGTCTAGATCGCCTCCCTCACCCGAATCTTTCCTTGAACCCCTTTTCCACTGTCCCAAAGCTGTCCATTCTTACGCCTCTTCCAGAAACACAGGCTACCTCCCCCCACTTCCCCAGTGCCACTCTGGATTGTAATATCCCACTCAGGAGCTTCTTTCTTGTATTTTCCCTCCCCCCACTCCCCACCCTTCCTGGATCATCTGTTTTACTTTTATGAAGCAAATATACTCAATTCAAATATAGGAACAAAGGCCTAAGTCCTTTCTGTGCTTATTTCTTGGGTGACTGATTTTAGATCCTATCATTTAGTGGATAATGTTTTCCAAAAGCACGTAGAATAGTACCTATCGCATAAGAAAAGGGCAGTACTCTTTAGCTGCTGTTAATCCTGAAACATTTGACTTCTCCCCATGCCCCCTTCACAAGCATCTTCATTTAGGTGTTATTCCCCATGTTCCACGTCCTTTCACATGTCACTGTGTCTACTTTTCAAGGTTGTAATAAAAATTAATACAATGTGTGTAAAGTAGCTGGCACAGTGCCTGACACAGGAGGTGAACTCTGGAGGGGTTGCCACCTCTTACTGAAACTCAGCACTCAACTCTTTTCCTCCTTCAGCTATTTCAGTCATCCAATTAGCTGACATACCTTTGAGTTTGGCCAATACTTCTTTGCTCTGTCGGCTCTTTGCCCTTTTTATGTCCCTACCCACCCTAGCAAGTCCCTAGACTTTTTCCCACCTAGAATTTTTTCTTTAGCCCCTTACTCTCAACTGATCCATTCCAGTTGGTGAGATATGACTCAGAAATCTTCTCATCTCCTATAGAAGTCCACATGTCATCTTCCAGATGGGAGATTCTCAGCGCTTTCTGAGGGTGCCTCCCCAGCCTGAAGAGATCTCTACCCTTAGTCCCCTGAGCAAGAAGACCACCATGATAGTCTTACTCCCTGCTGGCTGGCTGGCTTCATACAATCCCTTTACCAACAAGGGTCCACTGTATAGTTTATAGAATTAGTTTTTTAGTGGAGTTGGTGATGCCTTTCCAGTTACTAAAAAATCTTCATTTAGCATTCAGCTGTAGTACCTGAGAATCATGGAGGTGGGGAGTGAATGAATTGCCATGTGGGAGGAAGTGAGAGTAAGTGGAAAGTGGCTTTTCCAGGCTGACATTTGATGCCATTGGGATCTCTGATTTTTTTTTTTCCCGTCTCCCTCCCCTCCCCCTGAGGAAACAATGTCCTTTTGATAATAATTTGCTCTCTGCCTGCCTGAGAAGTACTCAGCTGGGATTTCTCAGCCAACGAGACAGTACAAACACTTGCGGTACCAAGCACCACTTTCTCAAACCCTGGCCTCATTGAGGTGATAACAACTGTCCCGCTCAAGGGATTCCCCCTTTCCCCACCTTCCTCACTCCTTCCCCCACCTCCTTTTGGTGTTATACAGGGATATCATGTCCATTTATAAGGAGCCTCCTCCAGGAATGTTCGTTGTACCTGATACCGTTGACATGACTAAGGTATGTAACTTGATGGGAGTTTGGGGGTTTTTGGGAAATCGGGGGCCATAAGGTTGGAAAAGCCTAAAAGAGATTATTCAGCTCACCTCTCTGATTACACAGATGAAGAAATCAAGACCCCAGGAGAGTAAATGGCTTGTCCAAGGTCACATAGTGAGGTGGAGCAGCGCTTTGAAGAGGTGTCTTATTAGTGTACCCCATAGGTACTGATTGGCTTGGAAAATCCCAGTTCATGTCTGTTGTCGCAGCTTGACTATAGGGCTCTCTTTCACTCTCAAAAGTGCTCCTGTTTGGATAATAAATTATATAGTCACCTTATCCATTGTACTACCCAGCTCTTCCCCCATCCCATTACTCTTGACATTAACTATGGTACTATAAATCAGATGTAGGGAAGGTTGAGATAGGGCAAGCTTGACTGAAGTGTTTGTGGTTAAAAGACTTTGTTCAGGATCCTGTCCTTACTGGTTGCATTTAAATATCCCTTCCACCCCAAAGACTATACCTCTCTTGTCCTCCACACAGAGAGAAAGCTTAGTACATAATGTCACATTTCTCTGGCATAGATACCTAGGCTTCTCTGTCACTGAGTGCTCTACCCACAGAAGTGCAGTTGCACTTAAACTGATGTTGAAAGAAACCAGATTTCCTAAACCTAATGCCATTTAACTAAAACACATAGTTTTCTTATGGTAAATTTCTTACAGTAAAAATTCAGATTTTGTATTGTTGGTGTATCTTTTTTTGTTGTTTTAAATAGATTTCCCTTCATACTTATTTTTTTTCTTTTTATGTGGTTGGAAATGTTTTTCCTGGGACATCTTGTCCTCTGTCAAGTACCTGGGATCCCAGAGTTGATGCCATGCTGAGACCAGTTGAGTTTACTATTCCAAATGACTGGGAACCAGAATATGACCTAGGGTCTTGCCAGGAGGGCAAGGTGGGAACTATAGACTTAGGCATTGGATTGCCACATCCTTTTCCTTTTGCTATTCAAATTCTTAGCAGATCTAAATGCTTAGGAGCCTTTGTAGAAGAAGAAATATAACTGAATCAGTTCAGGTTTTCCTCCCTTCAGGGAGGGAAATCCTGTTCTAGAATTATGGTTTGAGGGGGAAGAGAATTGTGTCATTTTCAGGGCAGCTGATTTTTTTTTTTTTTTTTTTTTAACCAACAGTATTGGGGAAGGTTCTGGGGATGGTCTAATGGCTCTGAGTGGACCCTGAGTCTTGTGCTGCCTGAGCCACATCCTCCACAATAGGTTTGATCCTCTGCAGAGGAAGCAAGCAGATATCCTAGACATCCATCACACCCCCTAACTCTGCTCTGTTAGTGGCATAGGGCTGTGGCCTCCAATCCCTTTTCTCGTTTCCTTTCATCATACTTTCCCTTCGTGCCACATAAATGTAGGTTGGGGTTGCATCATATGCATGTTTGGCCTGGGCAAATCCAAACATATATTCAGTCAAAATCTGTGTTGATTTCTTAAAATTAAAAATGCTAGGATTATATTTTATAGATAAGCATATTATATTTTTGCACAGTGGTGTTTTATCCATTATATGTAACACTGATCAGGGAGGTCTGCACACATACACAAAAAACATGCTTTAAGAGAGTTTTAAGGGATACTTGAGTGATTTTGACTAGGTTCAGTTTTTGCCTTGGGCTCTAACTTTAGAAGTAACCCCTGAGTAAGATGTCATTCCACTGTAATGAGATTTCTTAAAATTCCAAACCTATACATATTAGTATGAGTGAATACAGGATGTTCCTTCTGCATGGTGAGGATGTAGAACATGTGTACCAGATTATGGGCTCTGCTTCTGGTGTGGGTAGTAGGTGGAGGGTAGCCAGAAGGGGTTGGGGTGGGTCGTCACCTCACAATTTTGAGATGGGGTTTTATTTTGCAGATTCATGCATTGATCACAGGCCCATTTGACACTCCTTATGAAGGGGGTTTCTTCCTGTTCGTGTTTCGGTGTCCGCCCGACTATCCCATCCACCCACCTCGGGTCAAACTGATGACAACGGGCAATAACACAGTGAGGTTTAACCCCAACTTCTACCGCAATGGGAAAGTCTGCTTGAGTATTCTAGGGTAAGAGGAGACTTTTAAGTAGCCAAGTCGGTTGTTAGCAGATAATTACTCTAGGTCAGCCTTTATCAACCGGAGTCCCTCATCTGAACTACAGAATACAGAAAATGATTGAGTGACTCTTCTCAAATCTCCTCAGGATGGTATGTGACTAGTATCATTCTAGATGCAGAGGGGAGAAGTTAATTTATTACAGTGGAAACCTTTGAGAAGTGGTTCTCTAAGAGAGTGGCCCCGAGCATCTGGGAACTTGTAGCCGAGCACTTTCTGGGACCCTACATTAGACCTGCAAAAGAAATTCTGGGGTTGGGGCCAAAAATCTGGGTTTTTTGGTTGTTGTTTTTTGTTTGTTTGTTTTGAGATGGAGTCTTGCTCTGTCACCAGACTGGGGTGCAAGTGGTGCCATCTCGGCTCACTGCAACCTCCGCCTCCCAGATTCGAGCGATTCTCCTGCCTCAGTCTCCCGAGTAGCTGGGGCTGCAGGTGTGTGCCACCACACCCAGCTAATTTTTTGTATTTTTAGTAGAGACAGGATTTCACCATGTTGGCCAGGATGGTCTCAATCTCTTGACCTCATCATCCACTCACTTCGGCCTCCCAAAGTGCTGGGGTTACAGGCGTGAGCCACCACACCCGGCCCAGTAATCTGTTTTTTACAAGCTCTCCAGATGATTGTGGTGCATACTCCAGTTTCAGAACCACTCTGCTGGGGTGTTAAGGCCTTATTTTCTCTCCTGAACAGGTTGAGAAAGGCTGCAGGTCTGTGCCATTCAAGATTTGGGGTATCTTAATTTGAGTCTCACAATAAGTTGCTTTGAAGACAGTGGCGGCAGCGGTGGTGGTGGTGGTGGTGATCATTACGGTTTCGTTTTTTTTTTTTGTTTCTTTGGTTTTTTTGGTTTTTTTTTGTTTTCGGTAGAGGCGGGTGTCTCACTATGTTGCCCAGGCTGGTCTTGAATTCTTGTCCTCAAGCAGTCCTCCTGTTGTGGCTCCCAAAGCACTGGGGTTACAGGCATGAGTCTCCATGCTTGACCTGATTATAGTATTTTAACAATGACAAATGTCTGAGATTAGAAATTTTTTTTTTTTTTTTTTTTTTTTTTGAGACAGAGTCTTGCTGTGTCCCCCAGGCTGGAGTACACTGGCACAATCTTGGCTCACTGCAAGCTCCACCTCCCGGGTTCCTGCCATTCTCCTGCCTCAGCTTCCCCAGTAGCTGGGACTACAGGTGCCTGCCACCGTGCCCAGCTAATTTTTTGTATTTTTAGTAGAGATGGGGTTTCACTGGGTTAGCCAGGATGGTCTCGATCTCCTGACCTCGTGATCCACCTACCTCGGCCTCCCAGTGGAAATCATATTATATATGAAATGAGTTTCTAGTGCATCTTCTTTCTGGATGCTTCTGAGGTTTTGCTTCATAGAGTTCCCATTTTAGTTGCCTTTGGGGTCTGAAAACTCAGTGTGGACATGTCTTCTAGCATATTTTGGATTGGTCTTTTTATAGTGGTCTGAACTTCTCTGGGGCAGAGAACACGTGCAGGTTGAAGTTGAGAAAGTACCCCCAAACTGATGATTCTGTTTTCCTGCTATCCAACATGTTTCCAGGTTTGTGTGAGGGAAGGGCAGCGTTTGAAATAAACTTAGAGACATGATTCATTTTTCTAGAACTTGCTCAGACCCAGGGATATGTTCTGCTGTGATTTTGGCAGTGAAGAAGTCCTTTAAAGGAGGCTGTCCTTAAAGAAGTACTTCATCTCGTTAGGGTGCTTAATTAATTGTCTTTGCTGGTAGGCTAAAACCCATGATGGTAAAGAAATTTAGTCATTGCTTCTGTATGAAGTTTATTTATGAAAGCATGTCTCAGAGTAGGCTCTCCCTCATTGGGTCAATATAAAACTTTTGAGATACCAACGACAGGACAGTGGGGTAAAAGTAGTAGAAGTGTGTTAGGTAGACAAGGAAAAGCTGTCCTGAAATTGAAAATTTGCCGTAAAGAATGACAGAGTAGAAAATTCAGCCGGGTGTGGTGGCTCACACCTGTAATCCCAGCACTTTGGGAGGCTGAGGCACGTGGATCACCTGAGGTCAGGAGTTTGAGACCAGCCTGGCCTGGCGAAACCCTGTCTCTACTAAAAATAGAAAAATTAGCCAGGCATGGTGGCGCGTGCCTCTAGTCCCAGCTACTCGGGAGGCTGAGGCATGAGAATTGCTTGAACCTGGGAGGCAGAGGTTGCAGTGAGCCAAGATCACGCCGCTGCACTCCAGCCTGGGTGACAGAGGGAGACTTTGTCTCAAAAAAAGAAAGAAAAAGTTCTTAGGTGTTCCTAGTTGACTGTATTAGCTTTATCAGCCTTGTTTTTTTTTTCCCCCTCTCTATCTAGAAAACAATGTTGGGCTGACTCACTGACTAAATAAATTTAATGAGAGTTGACACTGTTGTAAAGCTTCAGAGAGGGGTAGGTCTAGAGTTTCTGGGGAAGCAAAGCTGAAAAGAGAGAAGACTTAAGAGCAGCCCCCAGTGAAGCTACCATTAGGCATTACTCACTTGGGCTTTCCTCAGGTACCGCAGGGAAAGGGAAGTGGGCAATCAACTTGAACAAGCCAGTCCTGGCTTAGGTTGTGTTTGGCTTCCAGCTCTGGTGCCATCTCTTCAATTAATTGAGCTAAAAATAAATGTCATTAACATCCAAGCTGCCCACTCCCCCTAATACTTGGTTGGGTTTATGAAAGAAAGGAGCAATTTTGGTATTCGATGTTTTCCATATATTATTTTCACACCTTCCACTGTCTGGAAGCACTCTCTTCCTGTCCTTAGGTAGAGTTATGTAGTCTTAAGAGAATTTGACAGTCCTTGGGGGTTTGATACAAAACTGGATCCCCAATAGCCCCACCACATGGCCTCTAACCAGATGACTTCAGTCACCTGTTTGCCTCTATGTTCAACTCTCTCTCCCCTCACTAACTCCATCACCACCCATAAATGAGCTCTTTGAGATCCACAGAGATGAACATTTAGACAACTTTTGGAGCTGCTTGCTTACCTAATTTCTTTTGTTTTGATTGTCATAACTGTTTCTAGTACAAAGAAAATCCCTTCAAAGTTACATAGCTTGCTTTTACCTATTCTTTTGCCCCCCTTGATATGAGGATTAGGCAATTGACTGATTTCTGCTGAAATCAGAACATGAGCATGAGACAGAGGCTGGGAAATTCCAGAGTATTAATAGTGAAAGAGAAACTTATGGTGAATCACTTATAGTGGTATTGCCGGGCCCCAGGGTACTTGTTCCCTGTTCTTTCTCTGCCTCACCCTCCCTTCCTTCTGATATATTTACAGTACATGGACTGGACCTGCCTGGAGCCCAGCCCAGAGCATCTCCTCCGTGCTCATCTCTATCCAGTCCCTGATGACTGAGAACCCCTATCACAATGAGCCTGGCTTTGAACAGGTAAGGCCAGATGAGCCTGGCTCTGGGGAGTAGACTAGTGTTTTTGGTTGGTTGGTTGGTTGGTTATGTTTTTTTTGTTTTGTTTTTTGTTTGTTTGTTTTTTCTGAGACAGAGTCTTGCTCTGTCACCTAGGCTGGAGTGCAGTGGTGCAGTCTTGGCTCATTGCAAGCTCCACCTCCCGGGTTCAAGCCATTCTGTCTCAGCCTCCCGAATAGCTGGGAGTACAGGCGTGCACCACCACACCTGGCTAGTTTTTGTATTTTTAGTAGAGACGGGGTTTCACCATATTGGCCAGGCTGGCCTCAAACTCCTACCCTGGTGATCCGCCTGCCTCGGCCTCCCAAAGTGCTGGGATTATAGACGTGAGCCACCATGCCCGGCCAGAATAGTGTTTTAAGAGATCTGCTTGGGAGGTTTTTTTGTTTTGTTTTGGACCTAGCACAGCCCCATGTACTACAGTTGTTGCTATAGGAAAAAAAGGGAATTGACATGTGTTTTTTAGTAATGAAATTTTTTGCCGGCTATGGTGGCTCACGCCTGTAATCCCAGCACTTTGGGAGGCTGAGGCAGGCAGGTGGATCACCTGAGGTCAGCAGTTTGAGACCAGCCTGGCCAACCTGGTAAAACCCCATCTCTACTAAAAATTAACTGGTCAGAAGTTTGAGACCAGCCTGGCCAACATGGTGAAAACCTGTCTCTACTAAAAATACAATAAATTAGCTGGGCGTGGTCACTTGAACCCTGGAGGCAGAGGTTGCAGTGAGCTGAGATCACGCCATTGCACTCTAGCCTGGGCGACAAGCAAAACTCCATCCTCCCTGCCCCCCCCAAAAAATAATAATGAAATTTTTTATTTGTGAGAGTTACCATAAATATGTGACTTGGATTCCTTTACAACATGGAAGTCAATGGACTCAATTGGAAATTAATTTTGAGCCTGCTTTGGGGGTTGTGGCATCTAGTGGGTTCTATGTGCCTGTATCCTCAGCATCCCCTGAAGTTGCTCTATAGGGACTACTGTTCAGCCAGCTGTTCTTCTGGAGTTATGAAGGACTGTTGCCTGCAGAGCCAAAGGAGTCATTAGGAGTCCTGGGAAAGACTTTTTGAGTTAACAATGCCAATGAGAAGGTGGAGAAAACTCACATTTTTCCAAGAGCATGCTCTGTGCTGGACACTACTGAGGTTTTTTTATGTAATTTCTTGTTTAACCTTCATACTATGTGAGGTTAAATATTGTTATTCCCATTTTCAAGTGAAATAATGTTGCCTCAGAGAGGTTAATTAACTTTCACAAGGACACAGTTCAAGATAGGACCCCAGACTTACATTGGAGCCCAAGTTCTCCCACTATTCTGATGTTCCTTCCTGAATTACTCATGAGCACGGGAAAAAGTTCCAGTGATAGTCCCAAAAGAAAATGATTCCAGATAGGTGATTAGAACAGCTTAATTTATTGATTTATTTATTTTTTGAGACAGAGTTTTTTTCTTGTTACCCAGGCTGGAGTGTAATGGTGCATTCTCGGCTCATAGCAACCTCTGCCTCTCAGGTTCAAGTGATTCTTCTGCCTCAGCTGCCCGAGTAGCTGTGATTATAGGCACGCACCACCATGCCTGACTAATTTTTTGTATTTGTAGTAGAGAAGGGGTTTCACCATGTTGGCCAGGCTGGTCTCGAATTCCTGACCTCAGGTGATCCACTTGCCTTGGCCTCCGAAAGTGCTGGGATTACAGGTGTGAGCAACCATGCCTGGCCAGCTTAATTTATTTTTAAACTACTACAGATGACACCAACTTTGATTATTTCTCTATAGACCTGAACAAAGGATAACAAAATACCTTTCAAAAATGAAAAATAAAATTTTTTTTGAGACGGAGTCTCACGCCATCTCTCAGGCTGGAGTGCAGTGGCTTGATCTTGGCTCCACCTCCCAGGATCAAGCAGTTCTGCCACAGCCTCCCGAGGAGCTAGGACTACAGGCACACACCACCACGCCTGGCTAATTTTTGTATTTTTAGTAGAAATGGCGTTTCACCATGTTGGCCGGGCTGGTCTCGAACTCCTGACCTTAGGTGATCAGCCTGCCTCAGTGTCACAAAGTGGTGGGATCACAGGCGTGAACCACCGAGTCTGGCTTCAAAAGTTAACTAAAATTATTCCCTAATCCATCCTTTCTCCAAGCAGTCATTTCAGGAGGAGATTCTAATTGAAATAGACCTCATTAGCAGGAGCTGATTTGTAGGTCTTATCTTTTTTTTTTTTTTTTTTTTTTTTTTTTGAGGCAAACTCTCATTCTGTCACCCAGGCTGGAGTGCATTGGTGTGATCTCAGCTCAGTGCAACCTCTGCCTCCCAGGTTCAAGCGATTGTAGTGCCTCAGCCTTCCTAAAGTAGCTGGGATTACAGGCACACACCACAACGCCTGGCTGATTTTTGTATTTGTAGTAGAGATGGGGTTTTGCCATGTTGGCCAGGCTTGTCTTGAACTCCTGGCCTCAAGCAGTCTGCCCACGTCAGTCTCCCAAAGTGCTGGGATTACAGGTGTGAGCCACCATGCCCAGCCTTGTGTTTTTTATTTTTTACTTCTACAATGATTTGCAGTTGTTTTTATTTTATTTTTTATTTTATTTATTTATTTACAGGCACGCACCACCACGCCCAGCTAATTTTTATATTTTTAGTAGAGACGGGGTTTCACTATTTTGGCCAGGCTGGTCTCCAGCTCCTGACCTCGTGATCCACCTGCCTCGGCCTCCCAAAGTGCTGGGATTACAGGTGTGAGCTACCGCGCCTGGCCCATCAGCTGCTTTTATCAGAGGCCACGGCTCTAATTGACTGGGGTTGGTGGTAAGAGAAGAGCACAGGAAAAAGTAAAGAAGAGGAGGCTGTACTCCCTTCCATTCACACCATAGTGAGACCCTGTTTATATTGACTTTCTAGACCAAAGTTGAAGTTTATCTTTTGAAAGTTTTAAGTTCTGCTTCTGCTAGATTTATTTCTAATTTTACTATTTCTTTGAGACAAAGTCTCGCTCTGTCACCCAGGCTGGAGTACAGTGGCACAGTCATAGCTCACTGAAGCCTCGAACTCCTGGGCTCTAGCCATCCTCTCGCCTCAGCCTCCTGAGTAGCTGGGACGACAGGTGCACATCACCAATGCCCAGCTAATTTTTGTATTTTTTATAGAGACGGGATCTCACCGTGTTGCCGATGCTGATCCTGAACTTCTGAACTCAAGCAATCCGCCTGCATCGGCTTCCCAAAGTGTCGGAAGTACAGGCATGAGCCGTCGGGCCTAGCCCTACTTCTGATTTATAATAATTGGTTCAATGATGGTGGGACCCTAGAGACATATAACAGGTAAAGGGGTTAACCAGGAAGCATCCTTTACTTGTTGATGCCTAAAGGTTTTCCACGCTGAGACTCTTCACTTCATTTATACCTTTTTGTCCCACCATCATTCTTTCTTTCTTTTTTTTTTCTCCCCCTAAAAAGACAAGTGTTTCCCAGCCTGGGCAACCTAGTGAGACCTTGTCTCTACCGAAAAAATTTAAAAAAAAAAAAAATAGCTGGGCATTATGACATGCACCTTGAGTCCCAGCTACTTGGGAAGCTGAGGAGAGGAACATCGCTTGAGCCCAGGAATTCAAGGCAGCAGTAACCTCTGATCATGCCACCACTTTCCAGCCTGGACGACAAAGCGAGAGCCCGCCTCTTAAAAATTTTTAAAATAAAAGACAAATAAGCTGGGTGCGGTGGCTCATACCTATAATCCCAGCACTTTGGGAGGCTGAGGCGGGTGGATTACCTGAGGTCAGGCGTTCAGGACCAGCCTGGCCAACATGGTGAAACCCCGTCTCTACTAAAAAATACAAAAATTAGCGGGGCATGGTAGCGGGCACTTACAATCCCAGCTACTTGGAAGGCTGAGGCAGGAAAATTGCTGGAACCCAGGAGGCGGAGGTTGCAGTGAGCTGAGATCGTGCCATTGCACTCCAACCTGGGCGACGAGCAAAACTCAAAAAACAAATAATAAAAAGTAAAAACTTGGGACCCGCTGTGGTGACTAATGTCTTTAGTCCCAGCTACTCAGGAGGCCGAAGTGGGAGGATTGCTAGAGCCCAGGAGTTCGAGGATCCCTAGAGCCCAGGAGGTCAAGGCTGCAGTTAGCTGTGATTGTGCCACTGCATTCCAGCCTGGGCAACAGCAAAGACCCTGTCTCCAAAAAGAAAAACTGAAAAAACAGGATCTTACTTTGTTGTCTAGGCTGAACCCAAACTCCTGGGCTCAAGTGATCCTCACACGTCAGCTTCCTGAGTAGCTGGGACTACTGGTGCATGCCACAAGGCATGCACCTACCATCATTCTTATGTTTGGTTTTTTCCCTCGTAATCTTTACTTGATAGGCCTTTCACTTTACATTCAGGAAAATGATGTGGATCTAGTTTGCTGGTTATAGGCCAAATGACCTGCAACCTGATGGTATATTTGGAGGGTGGTGGGGGTGAATGGTGTCAAAAATAAAGGTGTGGTTGCTCTTCATGGATCTGCCATACAGTGGGAAAGGTATTTTTTAGTTTGTATGACTGGCCCACATACCCCATACTTATCTTGAAGTCTCTTCCCATTGGCTTTCTTTTTGCTTAAATTTTGGGATACTCTGGCATCTGTTACATTACAGGAGAGACATCCAGGAGACAGCAAAAACTATAATGAATGTATCCGGCACGAGACCATCAGAGTTGCAGTCTGTGACATGATGGAAGGAAAGTGTCCCTGTCCTGAACCCCTACGGTATGTGTCAAGAGGGCTTGCTTGGTATTACTCCTTTGGGGCACTTGGGTAGTTGGCACCTTTGAGGAACTTTGGGACAGAGACAGTGTTGGGCACCAGAGGGAGATAGAGAAGAAGGAAAGATGTGGTTCCTGCTTTTAAAGAACAAGCGCGGCCGGGCGCGGTGGCTCAAGCCTGTAATCCCAGCACTTTGGGAGGCCGAGACCATCCTGGCTAACACAGTGAAACCCCGTCTCTACTAAAAAAAAAAAAATAGCCGGGTGAGGTTGCGGGCGCCTGTAGTCCCAGCTACTTGGGAGGCTGAGGCAGGAGAATGGCATGAGCCCGGGAGGCAGAGCTTGCAGTGAGCTGAGATCCGGCCACTGCACTCCAGCCTGGATGACAGAGCGAGACTCAGTCTCAAAAAAAAAAAAAAAAAAGAACAAGCGGCTGAGGGTTACCCAAGAGAAAGTTCAGAGAGCTACTGTGTTGGAGAACCCCGAGCCTTTGGGAGAGGCAGTCCACACCCTCAGGGAGTTTCCAGTTTGATGAAGGCTTGGATGTACTTTTTTCCAGCCAAATGTGTAGAGCACTTCATAATAAACTCATTTCTTAGTGCTAAAGTTTATTTTTATTATTTTTTTTTATTTTTATTTTTTTTTTGAGATGGAATCCTGCTGTGTCGCCCAGGCTGGAGTGCAGTGGCCGGATCTCAGCTCACTGCAAGCTCTGCCTCCCGAGTTTACGCCATTCTCCTGCCTAAGCCTCCCAAGTAGCTGGGACTACAGGCGCCTGCCACCTCGCCCGGCTAGTTTTTTGTATTTTTTTGGTAGAGACGGGGTTTCACCATGTTAGCCAGGATGGTCTCGATCTCCTGACCTCGTGATCCACCCGTCTCGGCCTCCCAAAGTGCTGGGATTACAGGCTTCAGCCACCGTGCCCAGCCTGAAGTTTATTTTTAAGTGCCAAAACTGGATGAGCAATGTCAGGGTTAGGTAAATAAACTTCTAGGAGAATTTTGCGTAAGGTTTGCGATTAGGGATGGCCGATGAAAAACAATTGAGGTGAAGCAAGTCATGAGTTGAAGTTGGGATTCAAATGGTGAGTACTGGCCTGGTGGTGGCTCACGCCTGTAATCCTAGTGCTTGGGAGGCTGAGGCGGGAGGATCACTTGAGCCCAGGAGTTCAAGACCATCCTAGGCAACATAGGAAGACCCCATCTCTACAAAAATTTTAAAATTAGCCAGGTGTAATGGCATGCTCCTGCAGTCACAGCCACTCAGGAGGCTGAGGTGGGAGGATTGCTTGAGCCTAGGAGGTTGAGACTGCAGTGAGCTGTGTTCACACCACTGCACTCCAGCCTGGGTAACAGCAAGACCCTGCCTCAAAAAGAAAACAAATGATGAGTATTTACAGTCACTCTCATAATTCCCAACGTGTCGGGGAAGTCAACCCCAGGCAATTAGATGTTCCTTTTTCCATTTCACATTTAAAGATCCTTGTAGAGGCGGGGCACAGTGACTCACGCCTGTAATCCCAGCACTTTGGCAGGCCAAGGAGGGCAGATCACAAGGTCAGGAGTTCAACACCAGCCTGACCAACATGCTGAAACCCCATCTTTGCTAAAAATACAAAAATTACCTGGGTGTGTTGGCACGCACCTGTAATCCCAGCTACTCAGGAGGCTGAGGCGTGAGAATCACTTGAACCCGGGAGGCGGAGGTTGCAGTGAGCCAAGATTATGCCACTGCACTCCAGCCTGGGCAAAAGAGCGAGACTCAGTCTCAAAAAACTTAAAAAATAAAAAATAAAATAAAAAGATCTTTGTAGAAAACAGATTTGGACTTGGGAATGGTAGGTGTTTAATTTGGCATTAAGGTTAGGTAAGGAGGCTAGGCGTGGTGGTTCACACCTGTAATCCCAGCACTTTGGGAGGCAACGCAGGCGGATCACTTGAGGTCAGGAGTTCCTGACCAGCCTGACCAACATGGTGAAACCCCATCTCTACTAAAAACAAAAATTAGCCAGGCGTGATGGCACATGTCTGTAATCCCTGCTACTCAGGAGGCTGAGGCAGGAGAATTGCATGAACGCGAGAGGCAGAGGTCATAGGGAGCTGAGATTGCGCCACTGCACTCCAGCCTGGGTGACAGAGCAAGACTCCATCCGGGAAAAAAAAAAAAAAAACGGTTAGGTGAGGAAGGGGTGACCTGTACCGCTAGGTTTCTGACTTAACTTTTCTGCTTGTTTTCCAGAGGGGTGATGGAAAAGTCCTTTCTGGAGTATTATGACTTCTATGAGGTGGCCTGCAAAGATCGCCTGCACCTTCAAGGCCAAACTATGCAGGTAATACAACCCTTGCTGCTAATTGTAGAAGCCCTACAGCTGGCCATTGTTCATTTGCCTTTACTGGCAAAAGTGTGCTTTTGCTTCCAGTAAGAACTCAGAATTTGGGCTTGTTTTAAGGAAGGAGGCTATCGTTGACCAAATTGTAGATAGACAGACAGGTGCGGTGGCTCATGCCTGTACTCTCAGCACTTTGGGAGGCAAAGGTGGGCAGATCTCTTGAGGCCAGTAGTCCAAGACCAGCCTGGCCAACATGGTGAAACCCCATCTCTACTAAAAAGACAAAAATTACCCAGTCTTGATGGCTCATGCCTGTAATCCCAGCTACTTGGGAAGCTGAGGGATGAGAAATGCTTAAACCTGGGAGGCAGAGGTTGCAGTAAACTGAGATTGCCCTACTGCATTCCAACCTGAGCAGCAGGACAAGATTTCTGTCTGCAAAAACAACAACAAAAACACATTATTGATAGACTAATGTAAACTTTACCACCTGGTTGGTAAGAGGATGAGAATTCTCCTGTCCTGGAGAATTAGTTCTGTGTATTTGGATCATCTTACTGGTGGTCTTGCTTAGAAATGGGAGGTTTGTGGGGCCCAGCACAGTGGCTCACACCTGTAATCCCAGTACTTTGGTAGGCCAAGGCAGACAGATCACTTGAGGTCAAGAGTTTGAGACCAGCCTGGCCAACATGGTGAAATCCTGCCTCTACTAAAAATAGAATAAGCCAGATGTGGTGGTTCGTGCCTGTAATCCCAGCTACTTGGGAGGCTGAGGCACAAGAATTGTTTGAACCCAGGAGGCGGAGGTTGCAGTGAGCCGAGGTCATGTTGTTGCACTCCAGCCTTGGCAATAGAGCCAGACTCCACCTCAAAAAAAAAAAAAAAAATGGGTAACTTGGATAATTGACTTAAGATTTCTTAAGGCTCTCTCCAGCTCTCGTACTATGTCTATTCACCCACCCAACACCAACAGCAGTAGGAGGAGATGACTTATTCTACTACTTATAAATGGTAGTTTTCCCTTCCTTCCTTCAAGGACTTTCCACCCACCTGTCTCATTTAAGCACAAAGGGCAGGGCTGGCTTAGGACTAAGTTGTCTCCTAAAGCCTTTTTGAGAGTGTATCAATGACGTATGTCCTAGTTTGTTCCCGATCAGGAATTCTAATTGCTGGTATCCAACAGCATTAGCAATATCAGTGTGTAAAGGAAAAACAACTGGTGATGAGGGATGGGAAGGAGGACAGCATCTGGGCAGAAGGAGAATTAGAGGAGTTGGAGCCACGGATGAAAGAAGATTTGTAAAATTGACAGCTTCATAGATAAATGTGGAGCTCAGTCATGAGGGAGTTAACTTTCATGAATGAGAAGTGCAGGCTGTAGTCCCAGTGACTGACTAGCACCCACTGCCATCCCACTCAGGATGAGGGTAATGTGTGGGTAGAAGTGTGGAAGGAGTTCTTGTGAGAGAAGCAGACAATGTGAGAGGGAAAGTTGTGTACCTTTTGGGGGCTGTCGCACTACTTTGCTGCCTAAGTCCCTATATAGTATTTTAAACTTTTTTATACCATCCACTCAACTAGTTGTTTTTGAGACTTTGGGGACAATTAAACCTTTCTGTAAAATGTTTAGGGATCTTTGATCTAGAATGAGAAGGACTAAGATCAAGGCTAGGTGGCCCTGGAGCAATGCCCAGAAACCTGGACAGGAATGGAGTGACAAGTCCCTGGGGAGGAGTACAGGTGCTTATCTGAAAGTCAGAACTCTTGAGTTCTAGACCTGCCTGTGACCTTAGAAAAGCAAATTGCCATTTTTGAGTACAGAGAATAAAGGGCAACTTTTACTTTCTGTGGTTTTTATGAGGTTAATTAAAACATAGGTATACTTTATAATTCTGGTCTTGAATTTCTCTTCCCTATCTATCTCACTCTTACTGTCCCTTCTTCCGGATATTGGTTTGCTTTTGAGGAATACCAATACATATTCACTCTAGCCCAAGCTACACCTATTTGGGGCAGTAAGGGTGTCTTGTTTTTTTTTTTTTTTTGGAGACAGTTTCAGTCTTGTTGCCCAGGCTCCATGGAGTGTAATGGTGCTATCTTGATCTCAGCTCACTGCAACCTCCGCCTCCCAGGTTCCAGTGATTCTCCTGCCTCAGCCTCCCGAGTAGCTGGGATTACAGGCATGCGTCACCATGCCCGGCTAATTTTGTATTTTTAGTAGAGATGGGGTTTCACCTTGTTGTTCAGACTGGTCTCAAACTCCCAACCTCAGGGGAGCCGCCCTCCTCGGCCTCCCAAAGTGCTGGCATTACAGGCATGAGCCACTGTGCCTGGGCTAGGTGTCATATTTTTAAGCAAAGGTTATTTTGCCTGCTGTTCGGGACTACCTATGCTGTTAGGCCTTCCTGCTCCCATGGCTCAGAAGTTGAGCTTGCATTTCACATGAACCCGAAGCTGCTTTCTCTAGGATCAGCCACCCAGACTTGAATCTTCCATCCCCTTGTCTCCTTTCCCCCATAGGACCCTTTTGGAGAGAAGCGGGGCCACTTTGACTACCAGTCCCTCTTGATGCGCCTGGGACTGATTCGTCAGAAAGTGCTGGAGAGGCTCCATAATGAGAATGCAGAAATGGACTCTGATAGCAGCTCATCTGGGACAGAGACAGACCTTCACGGGAGCCTGAGGGTTTAGACCCTGCTCCCATCTCCCCTTTCCCCCCAACTCAAGAGTCCCAGCAGAATTCCTTCCCCCCACCCCAGGGATGGAGAGGCACTGTGTATCTCCCTCCAGACTCGAAGTCATCCTGCAAGATGGCGAGAACCAAGCAAGCTCGGATCCCAGGGTGTGGGAGTGGGGGGCCTGTTCCCGGTCTGACCTCCTTGGCACTGGAGCATCTGGGGCGACGTTCATCTGTTCATCCCATATCAGGGGCCAAGGTACCTTTACAGGACCACCTAGAGCGAGGGCCTCTGGCAAAAACAAAACAACCAACACACCTCTCCACAGGGCCAGCTCCTTAGGGATAAGTAGAAGACGGAAATTGCAGTTCCAAGAGGGAGTGTGCCCAAATGATTTATGGGGATACCTGGAAGGGAGCTTGGGGTGGGGGCTGTCTGTGACACTTAAGCAGTCTGGGTGGTTGTCTATTTGTCTGTCTTCAGTCTTGAAGCAGGGCTTCCCAATGCCCTTTTCCTCCCTGCCTGCCTTCCCCCATTATTTCCCACAGGCCAGCATAATTTTGTTTTTCCTAATTTATAGTCACTGTTCTAGACAGACCAAAGAGAAGGAACAGTGGTGGAATCTAGGCTGCTGATCAGTAAGCTTTACCTAGCACCTGAGCACCTTTCTCCCCTCCCCCCTTTCCTCACCCTTTTCTAGATGTAAGACAGAAGGTAAATGTGACTGGGACTTAACCAAGGTCTTGGTAAAGCCTGCATAGGCACCGTAAGAAGCTGAAAATACTGTTTGTTCCCACAATCACTGATTTGAAAAGTTCCCGGCACAGGCAGCTGCTGTGTATATGGGATTAGAGCCACTACATAGAATAGTCTTACAGATTTTCATAAATACTAGTCACAATGAGGGTATTTCTTTTGAGGGTGGAGTAAGTGGGAGACTGATGCTAGTCATTGTATTTTGTTGGGCTGTCCTTGTGTATTTTCACCCCAGCCTGTAGTCCTCCTCACTTCAACCCCAGGGATTTGTGGGGAGCAAGGGTAGCCAATGGCAGAGGGGATTGGGGCTGGGGCTCTGGAGGCTCCTCCCCTTCTTTCTCCTCCTTCCGCCTCCCCTGTGCCCCCAGCTGCTCTTGTCACTGACTCTGATGGGTGTTTGCCTGGCTGTGTTGCTTCTCTGCAGTGATCCTTTATCTGGTTGGCTCAGAAAAAAAATGTGCTTTAGGTGCCCTGTAATCCTGGGCATCAAGGGAATCCATCCTTCCCCTTTTTGATATGTTCTCCCCATACTTCCAGATTTATTGTTATGGCTCCCAGTGGGTATTGGCAATTCTTGTGATGCAGGGCCTCAGTCAGTGTCCAGCCACGCATAAGGGAGAGGATAGTGTGTACCTGCCCTGCCCGCTGCTATGAAAGTCTCTGGCTTGTGGATCATGGGACCCCCTTGGAGGATCTGTGCAAAGAGGGGCTGGGCAAAAAGGAGAATGTCCTACTTGGGAGGGCAGGAAGCAAAGGAACTGGACAGGGATTGTTGGGCTTGGGGAACGGAAGTTTATCTTGGATACCCATGAAGAGGCTGGGTCTCTTCACATGAAGATTGAAAAGGGACCCTGCTTCCAATTTCCCTCTTCCATTCCTCGAGCTACTCCAGGGCTTAGAAAAATGCCCTTGGTCTGTGGGTCCAGTGTTGTCTGTCATCCATTTAAGTGTTCCCCCTTTCAAGTGACAATCCTCTCCTTGGCCCTGCCATAGGGCAGAGCATGTCTGGCATAGCAGCCTGACTTTTATGCCCTAATCTTGAGTTGAGGAAATATATGCACAGGAGTCAAAGAGATGTCTTTATATCTGACTGTACATAAATGAAGTTTTCTTTTTTTTTTTTTTTTTTTCTTCCTTTTTGGTGCAATAAAGTTTGTTTTGGCAGAAGGAGGAAGTGCCTGTGGGCATGGGAGGGCTTGTGTAAAGGAGGAGTGGGATCATCTTGTTAACTACACCTCACCTAGGCCTGGAACTGTTAGGGAGAAGGAAAGTGCTGTGAATTGTCTGGAAGACAAAGACTTGCATAACATGGTGGAAGGGCGGGGCCGGGTGGGGAGAGCAGGACAAGTTTTCTCATTGGAAATGGGGTTCATTTTTTAAGGCTCTGGCAGTCAGTGACATCTTAGTTTCAGCGGCTTCCAAAGACCTATTCCAGAACTTGGAGTGAGCATGTCCTACAAGGACAGGCAGAGGTAGAGATGGGCCCAGGCGATATCCTGCTAAAGGAAGGGTCTCAGTATGGAAAAACCATTGAGTTTTCAGATTTCCAGTACAGTAGCACTTTTTAAGGATCTTGGCCTTTAGACTGTAACGACTTTGGGAGCCTTAAACAACTCTGGCCTCTTCCCTCATCACTTCTACTTGCTGTAGGAGATTCTTGCTTTCTGATGCAGAAGCTTTTACTCTTGGCTGACCATGTGTGCAGAAAAATGTCTACACACAGTATGTGCTGCCATTCTGTACTGTGCAGTGATACGTGAAGGCATGGGCTCGGGTTAATAGGCCTAGGCTCCAGCTTTGGCTCCGCTGAAGCTGGTGGCCCCTGGCAAATTACTTTGATTCAATCACCTGTGACGCTGAAGGCTGCCTACTTGGTGAAATTTAAGTGAGCTGTATGTAAAATGGGACAGGGTAGGTGTTCAGTAAATGACTCCCTTTCCCACTACTGAGGCTAGAGGGACCTGGCAATCTAGTACAGGAGGGTGAGAAAGCTAGTAGGGAATTAGAGAAAATAGAACACTCCCTAACTATTGTTTGATTCCCCTCAGAGTCCATTGTTTTCTTTCCTCCAGTTAAGCCACGATTGGACATTGACTTCTATTTCCTTCACACTCACAGCTAACTTTGTCATAACCTAGAGCCTCTACAGAGGAAGCCAGAAGAGGCTAAAAGAGTGAATAGTATTTACTGGTCCATTAGGACCAGCTAGTTTGAGATAAGGAACATTTTATTAAAAATGTTTGAATTAGCATAGGCTGTAATCTATGTCTCACAGCTACAAAGACTAGACAGGCCAGGAAACCACCTGCATTCCAGGCCCAGCTCTTCCATGAACTTGCAGATGACCTGCACAAATCATTTTATATGTGCTTGCCGTTTTCTGTGTTAATCAGATTATCCTTACTGAATGAGCGAGGTCTTCTCCAATAAAGATGCAATGTGAAGGCACTTTTCAAAAATAAAAGAATGGGGGAAGAAAGAAAAACTTGGAACTTTTTTCTTTTCTTTTTTTTTTTTTTTTTTAATAAAACTACCCAGGTTTATTTGCCCTCCTCCTCCTTCCTGCCTGCTGCTGTGTGCCGTTCCACACGCAGTCAGGGAAGGGCTTCTCTGGCCTCTTCAGCTGTAATATCCTGGGAGTAGAGGTCAGTGAAGAGAGCTGGCAGCCAGTAGTGGGCCTCCCCTGGGGCCTGTAAGTCCAGCCACGCCAACCCTTCCTTCAGCAGGTGTTCCTGGAGGGAAAAGGGAAGAAGGGCGGTTTGAGAACAGGGAGGTTCCGTAGACAAAGGGTAGGTAAGCAACCCCCAAACCTATTTTGGCTTCAGTGAGGTTTTCAAACTAAATCTACTAAGTGCCTTCAAACATTTACACAACCAACTATATGAGCTGTTTGGCCTTGGTCTTTGCCTGAATGTGAAAAATGCTACGAAGTCATTTAACTTGTGCTGCTGAGGAAGAGGGGTAAAGCCTAGCATAGTGGAATATAGTGGAAAGAACACATGGCTACAGAAAGATTTGCTGTATGGCCTTCAGCAAATCACTGCCTCCATTTTCCCAGAAACAACACAGAGATCACTGTTTTAGGTACCTTTGAGTTAACTTATACCAGGTAGCAAACATAATTGACCATACTTACGCAAGAATAGACTCAGTTCCTAGAGCTGGAAATATGCTCAAAATGGGTTGGTTCTGTCCAATATCATTAGGTAGATAAATATGTTATCCCCATTTTACAGATGAAAGGTTTAGACAGCTGAATTGCTTGGATAAGGAAAAAAGGTACTGAAGCCAGAGTTGTTAACATTGCTCCCTCTTCACATCATTCATTCTTCAGTACCACGAAATGTGTATGTATAAAGCTAGAGTATATACTATGCAATATAATGCTTCGTGGATAATTACAGATATGTAATTAACATAGTTAATAATTCCCATCACTGTACTAACAGTGTTACTTTCAGTACAAACTACATTAATCTCCTGACAAGTCCAGGCTCAGCATGTTCAGGAAATAGAGTGTTGGTTCCCCAAGTAGCAGGGGCAGCCTGGTATTGTGTGCACACCAGAGTTAGGAACCTGCCTTCCTGAGTTCTACCTTCTTGGTAGCATGAAGAGAAGTGCTAGGCTTCCTTCTAGCATGGCAGCAGTAGCCTTCAAGGCAGAAGGCCAGCAAAGCAATCCTGAAGCTCCTGCCTTTGTGAAACCCACATCCTCCCAACTGGGGCCTGCCTTTGTGGAACCCACATCCTCCCAACTGGGGCCTGCCTTTGTGGAACCCACATCCTCCCAACTGGGGCCTGTCTTTTCTGGACTGTTCCAAAGTTGCATACCAGCACTTGCCGCGCTCGCTCGGTCTCCCATTTAAGACTGGCTTTGATCTCACTGACAGTCACGTAGCCATTCTTCTGAAGGAAGGAGGAATGGGGATTGAATCAGTTAAAGAGTGCACCTTCCCTTAGAACCCAGGACCTGCCCAGGAACAACAGACTTATCCAGACAGGAGGAAAAGCTGTCAAGCATGAGGGAACACAGAAAATGTTTAAAGGTTCCAGCAGGGAGAGAGACAAGTGACTTTCAGCATGACAGAGGTAGGTTGGTGGGTTCAATCTTAAAAGTGGAGTCCAGGCCGGGCATGGTGGCTCATGCCTGTGATCCTAGCACTTTGGGAGGCTGAGGTGGGGGTATCACCTGAGGTCAAGAGTTCGAGACCAGCTTTGCCAACATGGTGAAACCCCATCTCTACTAAAAATACAAAAATTAGCCGGGCATGATGGCACATGCCTGTAATCCCAGCTACTCGGGAGGCTGAAGCAGGAGAATCGTTGGAACCTGAAAGGTGGAGGCTGCAGTGAGCTAGAGATTGTGCCACTGCATGCCAGCCTGGGCAAGAGTGAGACTCCATCCCAAAAAAAAAAAGGTGGGTCCCTTGTACTAACAAGTTAGGCTTCTGCAAAGCACTCTAGAGCATGACAAGGGAAGATTCTGAACAATTAACTGATAGGAAGAAGAATCATAAACTGCTAATAATATCCATTATTTAAATATTCAGCCCTTGCCCTGCCTCATTCTACTCACCCTCCAATACAGAAAAGCCCCTCCCTTATTTAGTTGTTTTACATTATAAAGAAAACTGGGCCAGGTGAGGTGGCTCACGCCTATAATCCCAGAACTTTGGGAGGCCAAGGCTGGCACATCACCTGAGGTCGGGAGTTTGAGACCAGCCTGGCCAACATGGAGAAACCTCATCTCTACTAAAATTACAAAATTAGCTGGGTGCGGTGGCACACGCCTGTAATCCCAGCTACTTGGGAGGCTGAGGCAGGAGAATCACTTGAGCCCAGGAGGCTGATTCGTAGTAAGCCAAGATTGCGCGATTGCACTTTGGCCTGGGCAACGAGTGAAAATAATCCATCTCGGCCGGGCACAGTGGCTCAAGCCTGTAATCCCAGCACTTTGGGAGGCCGAGACAGGTGGATCATGAGGTCAGGAGATTGAGACCATCCTGGCTAACATGGTGAAACCCTGTCTCTACTAAAAAATACAAAAAAAACTAGCCGGGCGAGGTGGCGGGCGCCTGTAGTCCCAGCTACTCGGGAGGCTGAGGCAGGAGAATGGCGTAAACCCGGGAGACGGAGCTTGCAGTGAGCTGAGATCCGGCCACTGCACTTCAGCCTGGGCGACAGAGCGAGACTCCATCTCAAAAAAAAAAAGAAAATAATCCATCTCAAAATAATAAAACTGAACATATCTACCCTAAATACTTGATGGGGATTTGGGGGAAGATGGCATATGCTTAAGGCATGATGAGGGACAGAGGCATGGCAAACAAGATTATTTAAAATCTGTTTTTGAAGAATCCATAAAGTAGTTTCAAAAGACATCAGAGTCTGGCTACCCAAAGAAATCTAGTTAGTTGTCTGCATGTCTGTCTACCTGACTAGACTAGACTGTAAGCTCCTTGAGAGCAGGAATTTTATCATTCCTATCTTTATATGCCCCACAGCCTGGCCCAGTGCTTTGCACTGTAGCTGCTCAATAAATGTCTGCTGAACAAGAACAGGCCTGAGTAGTTCATCCATTGGATAGTCTCAGCAAAAGACCTGCATAATGGGGAGCAGGAGCTCAGAACTGCTGACAGCCTTGCATCCCAGTACCTGCACACACACACTCGAAGGTGCACCAGTACCTCTGCCAGCTGTAGCACCACGGTGTGATCCATATTGAGCTCAGCTGGAACAGACTGAATGAGGTAAGTGCCGCCCACAGGGATGATGCCGAAGCCAGTGCCAAGTGCCTTTAGTTTCTTGATGGCTCTGATCAGGTCGTCTCTGAGGTGAGGAAGAGTTGCTTAACGACCCTTGGCAGATCAGACCTAACAACACAGTTTCAGCTCTGCCCTGGGCAGGACACTGACAGAAAATTTAAAAGACCGCACAACTCCCAGGCGCAGTGGCTCATACCCATAATCCCAACACTTTTGGGATGCCCACATGAGAGGACTGCTTGAGCCCAGGGGTTAGAGACCAGCCTGGGCAACACAGCAAGACTTTGTCTTTACTAAAAAATAAAAAAATTAGCAGGGCATGGTGGCAATCGCCTATAGTCCTTGGGAGACTGAGGTAGGAGGATCACTTGAGCCCAGGAGTTCAAGGCTGCAGTGAGCTGTGATTGTGCACCACTGTACTCCAACCTGGGTGACAGAGCAAGACCCTGCCTCTAAAATAATAAAAGGCTGCACAACACTCAACTATGTCAGTAAAAAGACAGGGTCAAGGAGCAATAAGTGATGCTTTGACAATCATAGGAGTCAGGCTCTCTGCTCAGCAAACCACTCATTCCAACACCCAGACAGAGGTCAAAGATACACCTGCAGATGCCCATCAGGAAACGTGAATGAGTGAGCTGAAGAGGCAATAGGGGGTAGTGTCACCTGTGGCAAACTGGAGAATGCTTATCTACTTTAAAGGGGGCAACCCAGCTGATTATTGCCAAGTGGAAATTCAAGCCCAATACTGCCAAGTTTTCTGATTCTAACTGAAATCAGAAAAGAAGAAAACCAACAAAACAGTGTGTAGATCACATATCCAGCCCACACACAGAGTTTAAAACCTCTGCCAAAGCTCAAAAATGTATCACCCAAACAGCCAGGGAAAGGGCACTTTTAGGTAGATTGGAATGCATTCTCCAACTCTCAAGAATAGCAAACTGAAATGCTTCAAATGCTCACCCTCTCTTCATGAGAATTTGCAATGAGTATGGCTAGTAATCTTTTGTTATCACTTTCCTTTTTTTTTGTTGTTTTTTTTTTTTTTAAGAGATGAGGTCTTGGCCAGGTGCAGTGGCTTACACCTGTAATCCCGGCACTTTGGGAGGCTGAGAGTTTGAGACCAGCCTAGCCAACATGGTGAAACCCCATCTCCACTAAAAATACAAGAACTAGCAGGGCGTGGTGGCAGGTACCTGTAATCCCAGCTACTCGGGAGGCTGAGGCAGGAGAATCACTTGAACCGGGGAGGCAGAGGTTGCAGTGAGCCAAGATTGCGCCACTGCACTCCAGCCTGGGCAACAGAGCGAGACTCCATTTCAAAAAAAAAAGAAAAGTAGAGATGATATCTTGCTGTGTCCCAGGCTGGAGTGCAGTGGTGCAATCATAGCTCACTGCAGCCTAGAACTATGGGTGCATGCCTCAACACCCAACTACTTTTTAGAGACAAGGTCTCACTACACTGCCCAGGCTGGTCTCAAACTCCTGTCCTCAAGCAATCCTCCCACCTCAGCCTCCCAAAGGGCTAGGATTACAGGTGTAAGCTACTGCACCCAGCCTCGTTACTTTTCTTTGAATATTCTAGGTCTTCAAGATCTCATAGTAGGCTGACTCCTTGGAAGTTACATCAAAAACAGCCTTTTATCTTTTCTCAAATTGGACTCACACATAGAGGCTGGTGAACTAGATCAATTTATATTCCATCATCTCACTACCACCTCCTTCCCCAGCCTTTCTAGGCACCTACTCTAATCTCCTTGGCCTCAAATAATCTCAAGACTATATACAGCCCTTGGATACAGTCTAACACCTGCAATCCAAGCACTTTGGGAAGCTGAGGCGGGCAGATCACTTGAGGTCAGGAGTTCAAAACCAGCCTGGCCAACATAGTGAAACCCCATCTCTACTAAAAATACAAAAATTAGCCGGGCATGGTGGTGCACACCCTGTAATCCCAGTTACTGGGGAGGCTGTGGCACAAGAATTGCTTGAATCCAGAAGGCAGAGGTTGCAGTGAGCTAAGATCAGGCCACTGCACTCCAGTCTGGGCGACAGCAAGACTCTTTCTCAAAGAAAAACAAAGACTATATATAGCCCCAAGTTTATTAAAAAATAATACATGAAGAAATGCTTGGAAGGAACTACATTAAAATATATAGCAGTTGTAATCTCTTAGTTGAGAAATAATGGTTTTTGTTTCCCTTTTTATATCTCTATATTTTCTGTTTTCTAAAAATAGCCAGGCGTACGGGCCCATGCCTATAATCCCAACTACTTGGGAGGCTGAGCTGGGAGGATTCCTTGAGGCTGCAGGTAAGCAACGATCTTGGTAGCAGTAAGCTATGATCGTGCCACTGTACTCCAGCCTGGGCAACAGTGAGACCCTGTCTCTTTTTTGTTTGTTTCATTTTTTTTTTTTTTTCTGTACAATATGAAGATCATAGATTTCTAAGCTAGCCTAGACATGAGGAATAGGGAGAAAAGAGTTCCATCTGAATTTTTAAATTTTTTTTTATTTTAAGACGGAGTCTCGCTCTGTTGCCCAGGCTGGAGTGCAGTGGTGCGGTCTCGGCTCACTGCAAGCTCTGCCTCCTGGGTTCACGCCATTCTCCTGCCTCAGCCTCCCGAGTAGCTGGGACTACAGGCGCCTGCCACCACGCCTGGCTAATTTTTTGTATTTTTAGTAGAGACGGGGTTTCACTGTGTTAGCCAGGATGGTCTCGATGTCCTGACCTCATGATCCACCCACCTCAGCCTCCCAAAGTGCTGGGATTACAGGCGTGAGCCACCACGCCCAGCCCCCATCTGAATTTTAAAGACCTCTTTCTGTACTCCAAGGGATTGAAAGACAAGACCTACTGACTGACATCCTGGGCGAACTTGCCCCTTCCCTTCAACACCTGTTGATGTAGTTCCTCCAAAGTTATCAGACCTATTGGAGACAGAAATCAGAAAAAGAGATTACCCACTTTAAATAAGTCGACAGCCATTACATTCCAGTGGCCTACGAACAGCAAGTAACATTCTAGTTCCTAATTTCTTTTAACTCTCTCCTTGGCCGGGCGCAGTGGCTCGTGCCTGTAATCCCAGCACTTTGGGAGGCCGAGGTGGGTGCATCACCTGAGGTTGGGAGTTCGAGATCAGCCTTACCAACATGGAGAAACCCCATCTCTACTAAAAATACAAAATTAGCCAGGCGTGGTAGCGCATGCCTGTAATCCCAGCTACTAGGGAGGCTGAGGCAGGAGAATCACGTGAACCTGGGAGGCAGAGGTTGCAGTAAACCAAGATCGCGCCAGTGCACTCCAGCCTGGGCAACAAGAGGGAAACTCCGTCTCAAAAAAAAAAACTCTCTCCTTATGAAATAACTGGCCATAATATGAGAAATGGATTCTGAGACTTTGCCAGGCCTGTCAACAGAGTGAGAGCCATGAAAATCTAAAAACAAAAGCAGTGTCATCTTTGAAAAACTATAAATGTCCTCTTGACATCAAGGCCGTGTCTATTTATAGTCGATGATGATTTGTAAATGGTTTTAACTTTTCTTTCTGCAACTTCAATCCACACCATTTAATGTGCTTACTAAGAAAGATGGCATCACCAAATGACGAATTTTAAGATCACATTTTAGGGAACACAGAGACTCAGTTGGCATTCCCATACGTCAGAGAGACAGTGCAGGACTACAGTTACTAATGAGAAAATCACTCCAGACACATCAGACATCAGGGGAAAAGGCCTATTTCCTACCTCCCTACTATTTTCTGTACTGAGTAGGGACTAGACCTTCCTGGCCAAAGATCTTTGGAGAACAGAGACAATCGTTCAGGTAATTCTATTTACCCTTGGCCATGGAGACTTGCCATGGATTCAACTGCATGAAACAGCTAAGATGTCTCTCAAGTCCTTAGAGGCCTGTAGACTGCAGGATGGAAACGATAATCTTTTACGGTTTTCTCCCTCTCAGAGAAGTCCAGAGTCCAGTTCACAGGACCCAGCCACCCTCACCTCCATTCCGATGCTTCAGCGCCAGGCACACTTCGATAATTTGGACACCTAGTTCGTAATAGAAGTCCCCCACGCCCAGCATCTCAGACCAAAATCCTTTTCCAGCTACAAGACAGAAAAACACAATCTCGGTTATTGATTAATTTATATCCCTTCTTTTCTTTCAAAGCTGCATTAAAACATCTATCGTATGGGAAGTTTTCCCTGCATGGCATGAAGTTCTTCTGCTCCATTTGCTACTCAGGAAACAATCAGACTTATTACGGTAACTCCTGCTGAAGAACAGGGTCAGACAGTTCCAGAGGGCAGGCAATCTAAAAGTCATTTCTGGCTGGGTACAGTGGCTCATGCCTGTAATTCCAGTACTTTGAGACACCGAGGTGGGCGGATCGCTTGAGACCAAGAGTTCGAGACCAGCCTGGCCAACACAGCAAAACCCCATCTCTACTAAAAATAAAAAAAAATTAGCCAGGAGTGGTGGCGTGCGCCTGTAATCCCTGCTACTTGGGAGGCTGAGACAAGAGAATTGCTGGAACCCAGGAGGCAGAGGTTGCAGTGAGCCAAGATTGCACCAACATACTCCAGCCTGGGCAACAAGAGCGCAACTGTCTCAAAAAATAAATAAATAAATAAATAAATAAATAATAAATAAATAAAAATTGAAAAAATAAAACAAAAGTCATTTCTATTTGGCTAATTCTGGCTCAGGATACTGAAAAAACAAGTTTCCATTCACACAACATACAGTGAAATATAATGGGAAATATGGTCTAGACAAGACTAAGAGAAAGAATATGCGGACTCAGCATCCAAAATCCACTGATGTTCTGCAAGTTACCAGGAGTGTAGAAATAAAAAATAAAATACGGGCTGGGCTCAGTGGCTCACACCTGTAATCCCAGCACTCTGGGAGGCAGAGGCAGGCGGATCACCTGAGGTCAGGAGTTTGAGACCAGCCTGACCAACATGGAGAAACCCCGTCTCTACTAAAAATACAAAATTAGCCAGGCGTGGTGGTAGGCACCTGTAATCCCAGCTACTCGGGAGGCTGAGGCAGGAGAATCGCTTGAACCTGGGTGGTTGCAGTGACCCAAGATCATGCCATTGCACTCTAGCCTGGGGATCAAGAGCAAAACTCCATCTCAAAAAAAAAAAAAAAAAAGAAGAAAAATGCAGGTTGTAGAGCAGTAGTAATTATAATCCCATGTATGTTTAAAAAGTCGGGGCCAGGCCAGCAGCGGTGGCTCACGCCTGTAATCCCAGCACTTTGGGAGGCTGAGACGGGTAGATCATGAGGTCAGATCAAGGCCATCCTGGCTAACACGCTAAAACCCTGTCTCTACTAAACACACAAAAAATTAGCCAGGCATGGTGGCACACACCTGTGGTCCCAGCTACTCAGGAGGCTGAGGCGGGAGAATCACTTGAACCCAGGAGAAGGTTGCAGTGAGCCAAGATTGCAGCACAACTGTACTCCAGCATGGGCAACAGAGCGAGACTCTGTCTCAAAAAAAAAAAAACAAACACTAGGGCCAGGCACGGTGGCTCACGCCTCTAGTCCCAGCGCCACTTGGGAGGTTGAGGCAGGAAAGTAACTTGAACCCTGGAGTTGAAGGCTGCAGTGGGCTGATCGCACCAATGCACTCCAGCCTAGGTGACAGAAGCCTCAACACTAAAAAATAATAAATTAAATTAGTAATTTTTTTTTTTTTTTTTGAGATGGAGTCTCGCTCTGTTGCCCAGGCTGGAGTGCAGGGGTGCAATCTTGGCTCACTGCAGCCTTCTCCCGGGTTCAAGTGATTCTCCTGCCTCAGCCTCCTAAGTAGCTGGGATTACAGTCACGTGCCACCACGCCTGGCTAATTTTTAGTAGAGACAGGGTTTCACCGTGTTAGCCAGGATGGTCTCGATCTCCTGACCTCATGATCTGCCTGCCTCAGCCTCCCAAAGTGCCAGGATTACAGGCATGAGCCACCATGCCCGGCCAATAATTTTTTTTAAAGTTTGTAAGTATGAGGAAGGGCTCAGTGCAGAGGCTCACGCCTGTAATCCCAGCACTTTGGGAGGCCAAGAAAGGCTGATCACTTGATCCCAAGAGTTCAAAACCAAACTGGACAACATGGTGAAACCTCCTTTCTACAAAAAATATAAAAATTAGCCAGGTTTGGTGGTACAGGCCTGTAATCCCAGCTACTTGGGAGGCTGAAGCACAAGAATTGCTTGAACCTGGAAGGCAGAGGTTGCAGTGAGCCAAGATGGCACCACTGCACTCCAGCATGGGTGACAGAGCAAGACTCTGTCTCAAAAAAAAAGAAAAAAAAAAACTTTTTTTTTAAAAAAAGGTCTTGCTGCAGCCTCAACTTCCCAGGCTCAAGCAATTCTCCTACCTCAGCCTCCCAAGTAGCTGGACTATAGACACATGCCACCACACATGGCAAATTTTTATAGTTTTTGTAGAGATGGGGTCTCGCCATGTTGCCCAGGCTGATCTTGAACTCCTGGATTCAAGTGATCTGCCTGCCTTGGCCTCACAAAGTGCTGGGATTATAAGCATGAGCCACTGCACCTGGCCAAAATTAAGTATTTTTTAATAAAGAGGGAAAATGCCATAAAAAATTCTACTGTAGATCATTCAAGGAATGATCATGGACACTGGCTACTCAGCCTATAATTGGTCTATCTTCCATATCAGACAGTAACTAGCCATCCTGCTAGGTACTCCCTAAAGACGACACCCTCTGGGTCTTCTAGTAGGCCTTTCTAGCGATACCCCAACAGTGGTAACAACTATGTGAGCTTCTGTCCCTAAGGTTCTCTATAAGAACACTGGAACCCTACAGACAACTTCTTACAGGCCAGCGGATCCACGCCAATGGTTGCACACATGTCCTGGAACTGCACACGGAACTCAGGATTCTTCCGGATCTCCTGCTTGTGCTTGCTGGCAAATTCCTCCAGGTTGGTCTTGAACATGTCCAACTGCTTTGACATCTGTTGGATGGACAGGGAGTGGTGAAGGGCAGCCCAGCCAGATGATAATCAGATGCCAAAAATAGGTGCCCAGTCCTGTGGCATGGCAAAGGCTGAAATAACCAGTCTCTCTCAGCCTACCATTATGCTGTTTACCATCTATCTCTCTTTTTATCCCTGCTTCTCCTTCACAGTTCTGTTGTCAGCAGAAATGGGATGCTGTACTGTTTTCTCACTTCCAAACTAGACAATTTTTTGTGCGTTCCTGTTCTAAAATCAGGATGCATTTAATAATCAAGGTGCACATATATACAACCAAATACATGCACAAAAAAAGAACAATGTGTTATATATAATGTGGTATTCCTTTTCTTTTACCCAGAAAAACTTATTAATTTGAAGATGTACCTAATAATTCATTGTATCTTAGAAATGAGGGAATGCAGTGTTCATCCATTAGAAAATCTTTACCCCCCGATGGAAAGGGTGGACAGGAAAAAAATGAAGTGTCGCATGAATCTGTTTAACCTATGAGTCTGGCCAGGAATGGTGGCTCACACCTGTAATCCCACAATGGATCACTTGAGCCCAGGAGTTCGAGTTTAGCTGGGGCAACATAGCAAGACTCTGTCTCAATCAATCAACATATATTTTTTTTTTTTTAATTTTTTTTGAGACAGAGTCTTGCTTTGTTGCCCAGGCTGGAGTGCACTGGCACAATCTCAGCTCACTGCAACCTTAGCCTCCCAGTTCAAGTGATTCTCTTGCCTCAGCCTCCTGAGTAGTTGGGACGACAGGCACACACCACCACACCTGGCTAATTTTTGTATTTTTAGTGAAGACAGGATTTCATCATGTGGGCCAGGCTGGCCTCGAATTCCTGACCTCAAGCAATCCATCTGCCTCAGCCTCCCAAAGTGCTGGGATTACAGATGTGAGCCACCACGCAGGGTCAATCAATCAACCAACCAATATAAATTAAAAAAAAAAAACTTTTGAGTCATGAACCTGGGGATCAATTCCAGATAAAGAACTGCTCTGGGACTTTAATTTGCCAGATTGCATTTCATGTTAAATACAAAAGACTTGGGGATTTTCTGACTTTGTATTACCCCTTCTCTTTTCCTAATTAACAAGGACCACCTTCTACTCCACCAAGAATAAGCACTCCTAGCCCAATATTTCTCACATAAAACTGTTAGAAACCTCCACATTCTTTTAATCACAATTTTCAGTTGATTCCTGCAGTCATCTCCCCTGTGAGTGGGAGCTTTTGAAGAACACAGCCTGGGCCTACTATTTTTCTTCAGCTCACAGCCCCGTTTTCCTGTTTAACAGCTTCCTCCTCTTCTTCCCCAATCACAACCACTGCGTAAACTTGGAGCATGTAAAGAGCAGGGAAGGGCTGGAAAAGAAAACTGCACAGGAGCTGCACCCCCATCACTCACACACTGTCCTGGTGTGTGCCTAGATGTCATGATGGTGGTGTGGGTGCCACAGGTTAGGCAATATTTTCATTTTATTCTGAAGTATTTAAAATGAAAAGCCCCAGAGGACGTAAATCAATAACAGCTCTACCACTTACTACCCATATAACCTTGGATATATTACTTAACACCCCAGTGTCCCAATTTCTTTTTCTTTTCTTTCTTTTACTTTTTGAGACAGAGTTTTGCTCTTGTCGCCCAGGTTGGAGAGCAGTGGCGCAATCTTGGCTCACTGCAACCTCCACCTCCCAGGTTCAAGACATTCTCCTACCTCAGCCTCCCAAGTAGCTGGGATTACAGGCATGCGCCACTACGCCCGGCTAATTTTATATTTTTAGTAGAGATGGGGTTTCTCCATGTTGGTCAGGCTGGTCTCAAACTCCTGACCTCAGGTGATCCGCCCACCTCGGCCTCCCAAAGTGCTGAGATTACAGGCGTGAGCCACCACGCCTGGCCTTTTTTTTTTTTTTTTTTTTTTTTTTGAGACAGAGTCTTGCTCTGTCCCCCAAGGTGGAACACAGTGGCAAGATACTGGCTCACTACAACCTCTGCCTGCTGGGTTCATGCAATTTTCCTACCTCAGCCTCCTCAGTAGCTGGGACTACAGGAGCCCGCCACCACGCCTGGCTAATTTTTGTATTTTTAGTAGAGATGGGATTTCACCATGTTGGCCAGGCTGGTCTCGAACTCCTGACCTCCAGTGATCAGCCTTCCTCAGCTTCCCAAAGTGCTGGGATTACAGGCGTAGGCCACAGCGCTCAGCTCTCAATTTTAAACTCAGAATACGGCCAGGCACGGTGGTTCACGACTGTAGTCCCAGCACTTTGGGAGGCTGAGGCGGGCGGATCACCTGAGGCCAGGAGTTCAAGACCAGCCCAGCCAACATGGCGAAACCCTGACTCTACAAAAAAAATACAAAAATTAGGGCCAAGCACGGTGGCTCACACCTGTAATTCCAGCACTTTGGGAAGCCAAGGTGGGTGGATCACAAAGTCAAGAATTTGAGACCAGCCTGACTAACATGGAGAAACCCTGTCTCTACTAAAAATACAAAAATTGGCTGGGCGTGGTGGCTCACGCTTGTAATCCCAGCACTTTGAGAGGCCAAGGCGGGTGGATCATGAGGTCAGGAGTTCGAGACCAGCCTGGCCAAGATGGCGAAACCCCGTCTCTACTAAAAATACGAAAATTAGCCGGGTGCAGTGGCGGGCGCCTGTAATTCCAACTACTCGGGAGGCTGAGGCAGGAGAATCACTTGAACCCGGGAAACGGAGGCTGCAGTGAGCCGAGATCATGCCACTGTACTCCAGTCTGGGCAACAGAGCAAGACTCCGTCAAAAAAAGAAAAAAAAAAAACCCTCAGAATAATAGGGTTCCCTCCTTATGGGGCTGTAATGAAGACTGAACACGACAGTATATGTAAAGAAAATAGACAAATGCCTGGGACGTTACAAGCATGTAATCACTCAAATATGTTGGCCATTATTGTTATTAGCAAGTTACCTAAAAGATCGCAGCGGCTCAGAAATCAAAATTTTCCACACACCCTATTTCTAGTTCAATCTACACAATCAAATTCGTATCCAAGGTGTTTTGGCCAGCCCTGTTAGGTCTCCCTCCCTGCCTGGGGCCCCCCAGCCGACTCACCTGGGCTAGCTGGTCCTCAGCCAAGACCGTCCCTCGCTCCTTATACTTGGCCTGTCAGACAAAGAGACCAGCATGAGTTAAGAGAGGGCGCTGGGGGCGGCGCGCAGTGGCTCACGCCTGTAATCCCAGCACTTTGGGAGGCGGAGGCGGGCGGATCACGAGGTCAGGAGACTGAGACCATCCTGGCTAACACGGTGAAACCGTCTCTACTAAAACAAAAAATTAGCCGAGCGTGGTAGTGGGCGCCTGTAGTTCCAGCTACTCGGGAGGCTGAGGCAGGAGGATGGCGTGAACCCGGGAGGCGGAACTTGCAGTGAGCCGAGATCGCGCCACTGCACTCCAGTCTGGGCGACAGAGCAAGACTCCGTCTCAAAAAAAAAGAAAAAAGAAAAAGAAAAACAAGAGAGTAGGCGCTGGGGTCCCCCACTTGTGCTGCCACAGCTTTGGGATGAAAAGAGGAGGGTTTCTCTTAAATGGGTTTCTTAGGGAGAAGGATAGGGTGAAGGAGGAGAATCGACGACTGTAGATTTGTGAGTAGAGTCCCATTTGTAGTTAAAACTTGGGTAAGTGGGAGAAAGGGCTGGGCATCTGGGAACGCTGCCAATCCACCGGAAGCTGGAGACATTCTGTATCCCGGGGCCAAGAAGCCCGTCTCAGATTCTGCTGGGAGGTGATTAACGGGTAGGACTCGGCTCCGAGAGAATTCAGTCTCGCACGGGTCAGGGGCAGGTTGTGGGTCGGCCTTCTTCCTGCTCACCTCTGCAAGTTTCTTCTTGGCGATGGCGCCAGCTCCCACCCCACGGCGGTGCATTCCCACCCTGGGCCCGCGGGCCGCCCAGCTGCAGCGACCCCAGGTCTCCGCGTCCCGGGCTCCGCCGCCCGCTCCCCAAGGCGGAAGCCCGAGCCGCGCGTCATCTGCACGCGCCGGAAGCCACGAGGCGCATTTCCTGCCGCGGGGCTGAGTGTCTCCGATTGCTACCGGTCCGGCGACCCCGCCTTTAGCTAGTGGCCAAGATTCGCAAAGCCTCGCAGCGAGGAAGGCACGAATATTCGCTCGCGGCCGAGGCCCTCGTTGGCTAGTGCTGGGACGTGGAGCCCCGGCCGCCAAGACCCAAGCTTGTGCATTCCGCCCACGTAGGCGCCTGGGGCCCTGGTCTTCCTCGACTGCCCCTCCACTGCCTGGAGGTCATCAAATGCGCCTAGACCACCTCTTACGTGCCAAACGCTGTGTTGGCCATCCAGGGTTCCATATTGAGCATAAAATAGCCCTCTGCCCTAACGGAGTTAACCTGTTGGAATCACATACAAAGGATTCTGACTACGAAGGGCCTTGAAGTTAAGTTGAACTCTGAAGTCAGATTGCCTGGCTGCGAAGCTCAGTTCCACTACATATGGTACAGGAACTGAAGGCAAATTATTTTAATGTCTTTATGTGGTTCACTATCCACAGTAGTGAAATAGAATAATACCTACTCATGGCCGGGCGCGGTGGCTCAAGCCTGTAATCCCAGCATTTCGGGGGGGGGGGGGGGGGGGGAGAGAGAGAGAGAGAGAGAGAGAGAGGGAGGATTGAGATTCCCCTTTATGGAGCAGAAAGGAAAAGGAAAAAGGGGGAAAATAAATCCCAAACTTTGGGAGGCTGACTCGGGTGAATCACTTGAGGTCAGGAGTTCGAGACCAGCCTGGCCAACATGGTGAGACCCTCGATCTACTTAAAAAAAATACAAAAGTAGCCAGATGTGTTGACACACACCTGTAATCCCAGCTACTTGGAAGGCTGAGGCAGGAGAATCACTTGAACCCGGGAGGCCGAGGTTGCAGTGAGCCAAGACTGCACCATTACACTCCAGCCTGGGCAACAGAGGGAAACTCCATCTCAAAAAAAAAAGAAAAAAGAAAGAAAACTCGGGCCGGGCGCGGTGGCTCAAGCCTGTAATCCCAGCACTTTGGGAGGCCGAGGCGGGCGGATCACGAGGTCAGGAGATCGAGACCATCCTGGCTAACACGGTGAAACCCCGTCTCTACTAAAAATACAAGAAAATTAGCCGGGCGAGGTGGCGGGCGCCTGTAGTCCCAGCTACTCGGGAGGCTGAGGCAGGAGAATGGCGTGAACCCGGGAGGCGGAGCTTGCAGTGAGCCGAGATCGCGCCACTGCACTCCAGCCTGGGGCACAGAGCAAGACTCCGTCTCAAAAAAAAAAAAAAAAAAAAGAAAACTCTACAGTGTGGGAGTGGGCCCAAGCATAAGGGCAGGCAGATCACCTGAGATCAGGAATTTGAGACCAGCCTGACCGACATGGTGAAACCCTGTCTCTACTAAAAATAAAAAAACTTAGCCAGGCATGATGGCGCATGCCTGTAATCCTAGCTACTCGGGAGGCTGAGGCAGGATAATTGCTTGAACCCGGGAGATGGAGGTTCCAATGAGCTTCAAAATGTAGCTGCCGTTTTGGACCTAGAGGAATGGTGGAACCATGAGTACAATGAGCTTCAATACCCAAGGATTTTTACGGAACAGACTGTCATACCAGCCCTACGCCACCAATCTCTGAGTGTTTATTTATTTATTTATTTTGAGACAGAGTCTCGCTCTGTCGCCAGGCTGGACTGCAGTGGCACGATCTTGGCTCACTGCAACCTCTGCCTCTTAGGTTCAGGCAATTCTGCCTCAGCCTCCCGAGTAGCTAGGACTACAGGCACACACCGCCATACCTAACTTTTTTTTTTTTTTTTTTTTTTTTTGAGTAGAGACAGGGTGTCACCATGTTGCCCAGCCTGGTCTCGAACTCCTGAGCTCAGGCAATCCGCCCATCTTGGCCTCCCAAAGTACTAGGATTACAGTCGTGAGCTACTATGCCCAGGCTATTTTTTATTTTTCTTTTCTTTTTTTTTTTTTTTTTTTTTTTTTGAGACGGAGTCTCGCTCTGTCGCGGCCCAGGCTGGAGTGCAGTGGCCGGATCTCAGCTCACTGCAAGCTCCGCCTCCCAGGTTCACGCCATTCTCCGGCCTCAGCCTCCCGAGTAGCTGGGACTACAGGCGCCCACCACCTCGCCCGGCTAGTTTTTTGCATTTTTTAGTAGAGACGGGGGTTTCACCGTGTTAGCCAGGATGGTCTCGATCTCCTGACCTCGTGATCCACCCGTCTCGGCCTCCCAAAGTGCTGGGATTACAGGCTTGAGCCACCGCGCCCGGCCTTATTTTTTATTTTTATTTTTTATTTTACTAGAGTGCGAACACAGTCCCCCACTACCACAAATTACATAGTCGAGTTTCCCACATTTGGGGAAATCGCAGGAGTCGGCACATTCGGAGTGCAATGGATGAGCCTCGCCCTGAGAAAACCACCTTCAGGATAATGGAAAGTATTGAGTGTTTATGAGAAAGAGAAATAATGTTCTGTCTTACTAAAGCCACTATTATTTTGTGTTTTCCTGTTATTTGAAGCCAAATCTATTTCTTTTTTCTTTTTTTTTTTTTGAGACGGTGTTTCACTCTTGTTGCCTAGGCTAGAGTGCAATGGCGTGATCTCAGCTCACCGCAATCTCCACCTCCCGGGTTCAAGCGATTCTCCTGCCTCAGCCTCCCAGGTAGCTGGGACTACAGGCGCACATCACCACACCTGGCTAATTTTTGTATTTTTAGTAGAGACAGGGTTTCGCCATGTTGGCCAGGCTGGTTTCAAATTCCTAACCTCAAGTGATCCACCCACCTTGGCCTCCCAAAGTGCTGAGATTCCATGCAGGAGCCACCACCCCCAGCCATCATAAGAGGTCTTAACTACATAACTTCCAAACACAAAACTTGGTCCCTTAGGTACTCACTAACACCATCTAGATACACCTGCTTCCTCCCTTACTCTTTGACTCGTTATGCAATGCCCTAAGGTATGCACACTGATCTGCTCACTCACAATGAAGACCTTAGATTTAATAATTCATGCTTTCAAATGCATACACACATGCCTAGTTCCTTTTTTTTTTTCTTTTTTCTTAGTTTTTTTCAGATGGAGTTTCACTGTTGTTGCCTGGGCTGGAGTGCAATGGCACGATCTCGGCTCACTGCAACCTCTGCCTCCCGGGTTCAAGCGATTCTCCTACCTCAGCCTCCGGAGTAGCTGGGATTACAGGCATGTACCACCAAGCCTGGCCAAGTTTTTGTATTTTTAGTAGAGACGAGGTTTCTCCGTGGTGGTCAGGCTGGTCTTGAACTCCCGACCTCAGGTGATCGGCCCGCCTCAGCTTCCCAGAGTGCTGGGATTACAGGCATGAGCCACTGTGCACCTGACTTTTTTTTTTTTTTTTTTGAGACCAAATTTCGCTCTCGTTGCCCAGGCTAGAGTGCAGTGGTGTGATCTCAGCTCACTGCAACCTCTGCCTCCCGGGTTCAAGCGATTCTCCTGCCTCAACCTCCCAAGTAGGTGCCCACAACCATGGCCGACTAATTTTGGCTTTTTAGTAGAGATGAGGTTTCACCACATTGGCCAGGCTGCTCTTGAACTCCTAACCTCAGGTGATCCACCTGCCTCGGCTTCCCAAAGTGCAGAATTATAGGCGTGAGCCACCACGCCTGGCTTGCCACTGCGCCCAGCTGTGCCTAGTCCCTTAGATGCACAAAGTGGACCTCAATAGCTACACTTGTGGCCACACTCTGGCAGACATGCTCATCCTCCTATGCAGATACATTTGTACCCTTTTATAATTTTAGGGAAAATATGCTGACCAGTGATATCCTGGTAAGGGTTTAACAACTACCTTGCCAGGCTGGGAGAGGGGAACCCTGATTTGTAGCATTTGCCTATGTCCATGGTGTAAATACTCTGATTGTGGGCTTGATATGTTGCCAGGATGGTATATGGTGGCTATTCACAGGTGCTATCACAGGGCACTACAGCTTTGAACAACTGGGCTTAAGTGATCCTCCTGCCTCAGTCTCTCAAGCAGATGGGACAAAGGCACTTGCCACTGTGCCTGCTTCCAGCACATCACAGAATGCTGACCATTACGGAATCCCTCATTTGCTTTAACTGACTCATTGGCTTCGTGGCAGGGTGGCTAAGAACATGGTCTTTTTTTTGTCGGGGGATGGAGTTTCGCTCTTATTGCCCAGGCTGGAGTGCAGTGGCGCAACCTTGGCTCGGCGCAACCTTGGCTCACCACAACCTCCACCTCCCAGGTTCAAGCGATTCTCCTGCCTCAGCCTCCCGAGTAACTGGGACCACAGGCATGCGGCCCCACACCCGTCTAACTTTGCATTTTTAGTAGAGAGAGTCTCTCCATGTTGGTCAGGCTGGTCTCGAACTCCTGACCTCAGGTGATCCGCCTGCCTCGGCCTCCCAAAGTGCTAGGATTACAGGCGCGAGCCACCGCGCCCAGCCAGAACATAGTCTTTTAAGTTTTTTTTTTTTTTTTTTTTTTTTTTTGAGACAGGGCCTCATTATGTCACGTAGGCCGGAATGCAGTGGTGCCATCATTTGAGACAGAGTCTCACTCTGTCTCAAAAAATATAAAAAATAAAAAATAAAAATAAAAGAAACAGGCGCGAGCCACCGCGCCCAGCCAGAACATGTCTTTTGTTTTTTTTTTTTTTTTTTTTTTTTTTTTGAGACAGGGCCTCATTATGTCACGAGGCCGAATGCAGTGAAGTCATTTGAGACAGAGTCTCACTGTCTCAAAAAATATAAAAATAAAAAATAAAAAATAAAAGAAAACCGGCCGGGCGCAGTGGCTCAAGCCTGTAATCCCCCAGCACTTTGGGAGGCTGAGACGGGCGGATCACGAGGTCGGGAGATCAAGACCATCCTGGCTAATGACGGGTGAAACTCCGTCTCTACTAAAAATACAAAAACCTAGCCGGGAGAGGCGGGCGCCAGTCCCAGCTACTCGGGAGGCTAAGGCAGGAGAATGGTGTAAACCCA